GGCCTGAGCTCACAAACCCTAAACCCTAAACCCTAAACCCTAAACCCTAAACCCTAGAAAAAATATACGGTATAGAGAAAGGCCAGAAACCACCACCGTTAAGTTAATTTCTGCAACTTAGGGTTTAGGGTTTGAGATTAGGGTTTAGGGTTTAAGTCTTCTCCCTCTGTTACAGCCTAGGGTTTAGGGTTTAGGGTTTAGGGTTTAGGGTTTGAGGGTTCTCGCCTTGTCTATGGCTCTCTGGCTCGCGTTCCTCCTAACCCCCAGCAGCTGATAGTAATCCTTTGACCTTGGTGCTGCAGCAGCAGCAGCAGCAGCAGCAACAGCAACAGCAGCAGCAGCAGCAGCAACATGAGCAGCAGCAGCAACAGCCAAAGCAGAGGCAACAACAGCAGCAGCAGCAGCAGTAACAGCAGAAGCAACAGCAGCAACAACCGTAGCAGTGGCAACAACAACAGCAGCAGCAGCAGCAGCAGCAACAGCAACGGCAGCAGCGGGAGCGAGCGAGTCGCAGCAGCAGCAGCAGCAGCAGCAGCAGCAACAGCAGCAACAACTACAACAGCAGCAACAGCAGCAGCTGGAGCAGCAGCAACCACAAAAGCACCAAAAGCAGCAGCAACAACTACAACAAACGCAGCAGCAACAGCAGCAGCAGCAGCAGCAACGACAAATGTAGCAGCACGATGCAGCAACAGCAGCAGCAGCAGCAGCAACAGCAGCAGCAGCAGCAGCAGCATCAGACATACCCGCATCAACAAAAAGAGGCCCCCATGCTCCTAAAGATGAAGGAGCTGCGCCCCCTGTGTCTCTTCTGCTGCTGCTGCTGCTGCTGTTAGGCAGCAGCAGCAGCAACAGCAGCAGCAGCAGCAACTGCAGCAGCAGCAGCAAACTGAGGGTCCCCCGCAGCAGCCATTGAGGCCGCGGCGCCTTGGAGGGGACATGCATTGGGAGGCATCAAATGAGGAAGATCTAAAGCTCTTGCTGCTGCTGCTGCTGCTGCTGCTTTTGCTGCTGCTGCTGCTGCTGCTGCTGTTGTTGTTATGGGTCGTCTTGCTGCAGCAGCTGCTGCTGCTGCTGCTGTGACCACTGCGCTCTCTGCTGCTGCCAAATACCTGGCTTGTATCGGATTGAGCGCAGGTGCTGCTGCTGCTGCTGCTGCTGCTGCAGTGGAGTTGACTTGCTGCTGCAGCAGCTGCAGCAGCAGCAGCAGCAGCAACAGCAGCAGACAGAGCGGGTTATGGATGGAGACTAGCAGCAAAGTGTCTCCTTTTCTCACAGAGTTTAAGTTTAGGGGTTCGATGCTGATGCAGCGATGGAGACAGCAGCTGCAGCCGCAGCCGCCTGTTGCTGCTGCTGTTGCT